TAGTAACGCATGGCGCATCTTCAACTTATCCCTTGTGACATCATCCGTTCCTGATGTTTTGTGCTCCACGATTTTGATGAATATGTCCATGGTGAATTCATAATCAAGCTTGAACCACTTCTTATTCAATGGCCATTCGATTTCTGATGAAGATTGAGCATTTCTAATGCTGTCATAGAACGCCTGTTGGTTGAAGATGTACTGAGAGAAATTTGAATGATAGGAGTCATCGCGTTATGGAAAACCAAACGCCTTCCGAATCTCTTCACTAGTTACTGATATAGACTTACCATTAACCTCAGTGACGGTAGTTGTTGCATTTGAAGAGACCATCGCATTCAGATAAAACTGAGCAACATCAAAGGCGAAAGAAGAAGGTATAGGTATGTGAGACATAGTTGTAGAGTCCGCTATTCTTGAGCAGAGCGATGATCTTTTCACCAATTTTTTTGTCAATAACATGTTGAAGAAATCCATGTGCGTCCCACATGAAGCCGCAAGCTATGTAATGCGCCCTTGATTCGATGAGCTTCTCATCGGAAGTTAGAAATGACGGCAACCGTTCCGTGGTTGTAGGCTCAGGTTCTGGAGAAGAAGCTTTGGAAGCTTTGGTTTCAGTTTTCTTTGCCATTGCTGTTGGAATGAAGGAATTTCAGAGGCTTTTGGTTGGAGAGAAATAAGGTTATTTGTGAGATTGTTTGTGGGGAGGGTGATGCTGAGAAACGTAGTGAGGAAGGAAAAAGGTTTATGGGCAAGTGTTTTAGGTTAAATAGTGTAGAAAAGGTTTTTCAGGGGTGGGTAAATAAAATGGGTATTGAAAGGGGTTATTTATCTCAAATTAAAGTTATCCCTGTCAAAAGTCTTATATATATATATATATATATATATACCTGAGTTCAGGTGTGGCAACAACTTAATATGTGATCAGTGCGACCACACGAATAGTTATGCAAATATGCACAAACAATGTTAGAAAATGCACAACACAAATATGCACCATTAGGTATGCATCGCCAAAAATCGCACCATTAGGTATGCATAAAAGTACCACACATTGTTCGGAAATGCACGATTAGGTGTGGAGAGTTATTGTGCATTATTTGGGTGTGTTGTGCGTTTTTTGGTGTATTTGTCATTTCATTGTTGTGCATTTTCCTAACATTAATGGTGTCTTTTGTTAACATTATTGGTGCATTTTTCAAGCGACTGCACCGATCGCATGGGAAGGCGCGGCCGCATTTGAGCAGACTTCTATATATATACCAAAAATTACCAAATTGTCATTGCGTAAATTTGTTATATGCGGGGGGGGGGGGGGGGGGGGGGATTATTATTCCGAACCGCCTTATAAAGAATATATGTAATGCATAAATTTGTTATATGCAAGGGGGGGGGGGGGGGGTTATTATTCCGAACCGCCTTATAAAGAATATATGTAATGCATAAATTTGTCATATATGGCGTGTACGTTTATGATTATACAACAGTTTTTTAATCGTCGTATATATGTAACAGACACGGCAGTTCTAAAAAATCGTCGTAGAAAGTATTTATTTACAACATCAGTCACTTACACGACACTTCAAAAACCATCGTGTATGTGTAAAAAAAAAAAAAAACACCGCCGTAGTAGCTATATTTTGTAGTAGTATAAGTATCCTGGAGTAATATATTGTGTTCACTCATATACTTGTTCGCACATTCTCACTTAAAATAGTGTTCTCAATTGATCGAACACACACACACACACACATATATATATATTTATTTATTTATTTATTTATATTTATATATATCTGTATTAACTTTTAGGGAACTAAGTTATAGGGTAGTTGCAAAATTTGTCCCTAAGTGTTGATCAATGCTCACTTTCACCCATATGCTATCATCGGCGTTGCACTTTTTGTCCTTTTATTAACATTTTGTGCTCACTTTTTGTCACTAAAATATACAAAAGTTGCAAATTTCTTATCGAATGTTTTGTTAGTAAATGGATGAAAAGTGCAACGCTGATGATAACTTAAGAAGGAAAAGTGAGCATGACCAACAAATATGAAAAAAGTGTACAATTAATATATAACTTAGGAACGAAAAGTGCAACTTTCCCTATCTTTTATGTTGAATTATTATTAACAACTTCTATTTATTTTATTTTTATTCGAAATTATTGTAAACGCAAAAACTTGAATTATATATATTCAAAATTCAAAGTATCGGTTACAAGTAGTATCAAGTATATATCAAACGGGAAAGGGTACAATCTCTGTATAGGAGAAGTCCTCTGAGTCTCTACTACAAGTATGCCTATTAGAAGTATGTCGAATTTGGAATATGCCAATTTGGAAGTGTGCCGAGTTCGGGAGTATGCCGAACTTGAAGTAGTTCCCTGTTAGACGTATGCCGAGTTCAGAGTATGCTGAACTTGAAGTATGCCGAGTTCAAAGTATGTTGAACTGGAAGTATGCCGAGTTTGGGAGTATGGCGAACTGGAAGTATGCCGAGTTCGGGAGTGTGCCGAACTGGAGTAGTTCCTTGCTGAAGGGCCTCCGGAGTTAGTAGCTTGTTCCTCAATGAAGGGCTAATATGCAGCTTGATCTTCAAAGAAGGGCTTCCGGTGTTCAAGTGGCGTGTTCCTCAGCGCGGTATACGCAGTTGTACAACTGCGGGCGTGTTCCAGACGATATCTTGGAGAGATTCCGGCAGAGCTTCGATCTGTAGATTTTCCAGAACCCATTCTTTGGAAATGAAACCCCTATTTATAGTGGTGAGTGTGAGAGAAAATCTCCAACCAACTCTTAATTCCTTATTTAATTTAATTTCTTTAATTAAATTAAGGAATGTATCGGGACATCATTGTTTCCAGGTTCATGATTTCATTAAATTTCCAAATAATATAAAATATTCAAATTCCTCAAAATTATATAATCCACATATAATTTTAGTGGGCCAAGACCAAGTCAAACCCGCTAATTATGCAATCCAATTGATTCAATAGCCTGGTCCAACTCAATTAAATATTTCATCATCTCGGGCCGAACAATCCAACATCCAACTACATTTAATTAAGTAATTAAACCAATTAAATATTTAATGGGCCATTTAATTAACCCGATTAAATAAATATCAGTCTAATTAGCTTAATTAAAGTAATTAATTTAACAATCAATTATTCACCACGGTCCAACAATATTATTTAAAATTTTCAATGCTTACAAATTGCCCCTTCGAGACTTGCTCGACGTGTCCTAAATGCAGAGGGAAGGTAGTCTCGAAATTAACCGTAGTAGTCCGAGTGTCCATATTTGCAAATAACAGCCCAATAAATTACACATTGACTGCAGAATATCCAATTTAACAATGACCCAACAAGAACTATACCCAATGTGCCAATAGCTTCCACAATCAACGGCCCATTTCATTTTTTAAAAATTTCAACCAGATTACAACTTTAATTGAGCTGAAATTAATTTCTCTTCACACCTTAGGAGAACGTACATGGACCTCTAGTATATTTCCAACATCAAATTCGATCAGCCCTTCTCCTACCATTCACAATTTCTACCAACTATCCCAGCCACGTAATCTTAACCACTAAATCAAAACTGGATATGGATTACAGAACATAATTAGAGTCCCAAATGTACCCAAATTCCTCACTCCATAACTATAAATAATGCTTCATATTCACTGCATCTTCAACTCATTAATCTGTATCTTCAACTCGCTGAGATCATAATTACAGGTAATCTTCCATTTTAATATATGCACCGTACATATATGCATGTTCTTTTAATTTTGCAGCTCCTACTATGGGAAATCAACAGAGGGGAAGGATTGAGAGCATTGGATGGGACTTCCTGCGAATTGATTTTCCGGGCTGTTCTCACCATTGCTTGGACTCTCACCATCTTCACGAACACATCTTCACAAATACTGGACTGGAGCTTTTCGAACATTGATTTTTCTGGAATGTCTTCTACCATTGTTTGGACTCCCACCCACGTCGATCACCATCATTGGAGACAAAAGATGCTGGGTGCTCTCCGGGCATGTGCTCTAGCACGTCGTTGTAGCTGCATTCGTCTGTGAAACAGAAGTCGCCGGTGAACCTATCTTCGCCATAGCAACTACGGCTGCCTTCGCTGCTCCAGTGCCCCTCCATTCTCATCACACTTGCGATGAAGGAAACGGAATCATGCCAGTGATCTAGTATCGCATCGGAAATCTGCTGTAGCACCCAGGCGTGTGCTCCGGCACGTCGCCGTCGTCCCACAAATTGCCGCCGCCGCTATCCGCCGACGAGCTCGCTGCCGTAAAGTGCTGACTCGGGGCTGTCGCACTACGATATAGCGATGCCGTCGTAGGGGAAGATCTCTCCACGCATTGGACTTGACTCCATGGTCACCTGCTCTCAGCCACAGGGAATTAATTTTCTTCGGCAGTGGCCCTCCATCTGACTTCGCATCGGCACCTGGAAAAGGAGAAAGCTACCGTTGGGATGTCGCCATCGCCATGCATGCTATCGCCTTGGGACACTCAACAAGGTCGCTGTCGGAGAGCGTCGGCGTGACATCTTCACACTCCGATGTGGTGATACTGACACCGGACATCGGTTCTTCGTTGTAGACAACCTCCTGGTGGCTTCAACTGTGCAGCGACGATGCTCTTCATAGAAGAGTGTTGCGTGAACTCTTTGGCTAAAGTCACTCCTCACAGTTTGTAAGCATGGACTGCTTTGAGTATTTGACTTCGCCATTTTCGCTTGATAATCCTGTAAGATTTTCCCTAATAATATATAATATATATTATATATTAGGGACTTAATTAAGTGGTGCAAGTTGACTAGGCTTATTAAGTGGTCTAGTTGGACTAAATAACTAGTAGTTGTTAGTCAACCAGACTCTGCGCCTAATATAATCCTGGATTGATGGGATACAGGATGATTTGATGTTAGCACATTCAGTTACGGTACTCAGACTGCTCAGTAGACACCAATACACCATCTAGGGTTCTGAGTCAGAATTGAGGCAAAACATAGCTAATGGTCTACCGTTAAGAGGCAACACAACAAGAACATCAACAATGGCTGGAGATCTACAGGGCTACGCTTCCGCTATCATACGAGGTCAGGTTTCTCGTATACTATGGTTTATTATAGTTAGACTATTGTATATCTAACATTTGGTATCAGAGCCATTATAATCTCTATCTTGTTGATTGTTATTGCCTAAAAAAATCAACATTAGTATCATATACATTGAGTTTTTGTATATACTTTGATTTTCAATTACATTCCTTTAATTCTTCAAAATATGCGTACAAAATTGTATCTATTTGGATTTGATATAATTTAGTATTTTAGCATGTATATTTAGAAGAATTATTTTTAATTGTTTTTGGTATGCTGGAATTATTTTTGGCATTCAACACAATTTTAATTCCTTTTGGATTTGTGGAATTATATGTTGTGATTTATTGTGAACTACTGATTCAACGCGAGCAAGTTTTTCCACTGCCTATCGAACAATGTTTGGCGAGCAACTGTGTTTTATTTTCTGGAACCAGTCGCCGGCGAGATGTTCAGCGTCGATTTTCCTCTTGCAGTCGTCGTTGTTACGTTATTAAGCCAGGCGTCCACAGCGGAAGGAGAATTGGCATTGCGAGGAAGCTGGCGTTGCACCAGGAGGAACGGTGGAGGCGAGGCTGGGTTTTCCCGGCGACATCTCTGCTTGTTCTTCTCCTTCAGGCGACGCCGGCTGCCGTTCGCTGCTACTCCATCTCCAAACTGCTCTAAGGGACGACGGCGGGCTGAGGGCAGTTGGCATCAAGCGATGGCGTTGGTTATGGCTGATTACAGTAGACCAACGGTGACGAACGCACGACGCGAAGGAACGTCGAGCGCTGCAGATGGTCGCTTGGCAGGTTGCGTCGCGGCAGACGGATGGCAGAGGTGTTGGCGTTGTGACGAGACCTGGTGGTGGAGGCAGAGCTGGGATTGCCCGGTGACTTCGCTGTTGCCTTCATCTCTTTCAGGCGAAGCCTGCGGCTATTTTTGCTGCTGTTCGTCGGAGCTGCGGTCTCCTTCTCGGGCTGCTAGGGTTCATGGCTGATTGACGTGAAGAAGATGATGATGGGTCATGAGGGTTGGGCCGGGTCAGGCCCATTGGGCAGACCTGGTCCAACACTAAAAGAAAGATATATATTCTTGGGCCTGATTTTGGTTTTGGGCTAGATTTAGTTGATCCATCATCATATTTAGACTTCTTCTAGCTTAATTGTTCAGTTTAATTCTTCCTTAATTAATTATTAAATTATTATTCAATTTGGAGCAAATATTAAGTTTTAATTTGCTATTTGAATTTTAATTTAATGTTAAGGTGCAAATTAAGTTGTCTCGAGTGTTGCAATTTATTTAGTATATATGGGTTAATAATGTATTAATTTGCACATCCAAGCATGCTACGTATATTTATAAATTATTGCTATAATTATATATTCATAATAGCATGCATTAAGGTTGGATTTAACATATTATTAACTCATAAATTCATTATTAAAATACCATTCAATTTTTGGATCCTTAAGACAATTTTAGGCATTATGGCCTATTAAGGTAGCTTGTTTTGGTTTCCCGTCAATTTTGAGTACATTTTAATTTTATGTGTCTCTGGGACTTTAGAACCTATTTCAAATAAGCTATTTGGGACCTATCTTGGGTCGTTAAAGTATGGACTCCACCGTTTGATTGATATTTAAATAATAATTATAGCTCCTTTTGATTATAACATGTTTATTCAGTTTTAATTAATTCTAACTACCATATTTTGGTATTCATCGTTGGTAATAATATTAAGTTTTGGGTCTATTTCAGTACTTAGACCATTTTTATTCATGTTATAATTTACTTGGGCCATTGAAGTTTATGAGCCTAATTTGAGTGATTAAGTGCTATAATTATTGTCTTGGCATGTTTGGAACATTAAAGATTAAGGATTTAATTGTTATTTTGGCCATTAAGAATTACAAACTATTGTTTAAGTTGATTAATTTTTAATCTATCAATAGTTTTCAGGGCCTTAATAATAATATTAAGTCTTTAATTTATGGCAAAAGCAATATAGTTGGTATATTGTTTGTATAATGGTAAATTGGTTATTACCTTAACTTCAGTCTCCCAAAGTATCATAATAGTCATGGTTAATTATTATGTGGTAAATTGAGATTAGTATTTGGCATCCCTTAATCACAGTTTTGCCTTTATTGTAGTTATTATTAATTGGCGTTATTAATTACTGTTATTAAGTTTAGAGGCTAATCTCATTTTATTACTTTTCATAATAATTATCATTTCATGGTAATCTGCTATATTTGGTACATTGGCATGATTACTACTTCATTTTACATGACTATTAATGTTGGTAATTAAGTCCTACCAATAAATTTTTTAAATGTACCATTGGACGCTGCATCGAGGCTACTGACACAGACAGTGAGGATGGGAGAATTCTGGAATTTTCTTCTCATGTGGATTATCATCGTTGTTAGCGCAATGGGAAGATGCGGTTTGCATCATTAGCCATGAATTATTTTTATAGTTATTATTGATAATTAGTGCTACAGTTACAGTTAACCGCTAATTTGGACTAGTCGCATTTTTTATCTTTAGGAAAATGGAAACATTAAAAGGTGCATTACCATACTTTGATTTGTCATTATTATTAATGTTAATAGTGATTATAATGTTACTTATTACTATTAATAATTAATTAATGATGAAATTAATATTGTTATGGTATTCAAATATGTATCTTGAATTGTTTTCAAATAAATTTATGTGACAATATTCCAGTTAAGAAAATAGTTTTCTTGAATTAATGTTTTTCGGACTTCAAATTTTATTAAGTTTTTCAAAATTTTATCCGAAAACACTTATAAGTTTTAGCGATTTTAACCATTGTTTTTCCATATCTAGTCTCCTACATAACGTGATGATAATATTATTATGGCTATTTATTGCTATTTTGGTTATTTGCAATTTTGCCATTAATAATAATAATATTATTAATTGGGTTATGGAGAGTCATTTTGAATCAATTTAGTAATTTTGGAAAAACATGTTTGCTAGGCAATTGATGATTGCCATTAATTTCATAATTCATCTAGTTCTTTGAATTATGATTGCCCATATTTGGTTAAGTATGAATAGATGAATATTTGGTTTAAATTCATATTTTTTAGTTGGTTCATACTCTTTAGATTGTTTTATGCATTCAATCACATTAAGTGCATAATATTAAGTTTAATTATGCAATTAGGGATTGTGAGATTTTAATTTACAAATGACAGCATATCCTTTTGGTTTGATATTGTTTGAATTTGTAAATTCAGTTATTTCTCATAAATTTGATCTTTATGCATTAAAACATTTTACCATGGGCTTACAATTTAAAAATTTTAAAGTATATATTCAGTACATTATTATTCAACATGTTGAGTCTCTTTTGGTTTGGACTCATTGGTATTTGAATATTAAGTTTATACTTTAAAATCTCATATTGTAAATTGCTTTAAGTCATGCAATTTATTTGGAATATATATGAGTTTAATGTTTAATTTTACACATATTTGTCCTAAGCATAATATTATGTTTTAAATTATGCAATTTTATTATGCCTTTAGAAATGCATACTTTTTCCTATTTAATTTGGACTTATGCATAAACTTTAGTCGCGGTAGTGCCTGAATTTAAGCACGTTTAGTCTGCTATTTTTAGTTCACCATTTAAGCTTTAATCATAGGTGAACCTTACAGTTTTCTGGTATATGCCCTACAGTTTTAGGTTCATACCCCCAAACAGTTATACATTAAGTATATATGAATCGGGGAGACATGCTAGTTTTAATGGCCATGACTTAAGAACATCTTGAGCCACTAGTCTCCTTAAATTGATACTCTATTTAAGGAATTGGTTTTGAGTGAGACTTAAGTCTCTAACCGCCTTTCCTTGGAGTATATTTAGATTTTCCCATCACAATCTGGTATAATCTGTTTGTCAAAATTTTAAGTATTCCTTGCCAATGTGATTTGATTTCGGTTCATTAAAGAATAGCCAAATCATCTTTAATTTACTGAAGTCTCTTATGTTTTCAATCTTGGTTAATTAAGGAATAGCTACAGCATATTCAGCTACCTAAGATTATTAAGTTTTAATCACATAAAGTTTAGGCAAGAATTTGATAATTGTCTAGTGATCTTATAATTTTAATTTGGTTTGGGAGTAGCCACAGCATCCTTAATCTCTTAAAATTATATATTAAGCGGTTTATTTTGATCACATAAAGTTTTGGACATATCATTTGTGATTAATTGTATGTAATATGATGAAATTTAGCCCAAAGGCAATTACGTTATATTTGTATACTTAATCCGGATGAAATACTGGACTACGGTCATAATTTAGCCAACAGGCAATTATGTATCGGAATGTAGTTCAGTAGTTTTATCAGTGAAGATAGAAATAAATCAATTTATTTACTTTATGGTTATTTGTAAATAATTTCCAATTCTATCGTGAAGTTTAATTTTATGATGTAACTTTAGATCATATTTCTTAATTTGCCCACAGGGATTAAGAAAATGAACATGATCTCTTAAGTTTTTTATCATAATGATAGCAATGAATCTTATTGACTAAAACTTTAGCCTACAGGCAAGTTTTATGTCATTTGATTCTTGAACTAATTTGATAATGGTTTCATCATAAATAAAAATTTTCAATTGGATCTAATTGACTAAAACTTTATTCCACAGACAAGTTTTATGTCACTAGATTCTTCTGGCTCTTTAGTAAATGTGAAAAATATTATCATAAGGGTTTCTTAATTGGATTTAATAGAATTAAAACTTCAGCCAAAGGCAAGTTTTATGTCAATAAATCCCACCACCCATTAGATGATAATTTTATCACAATTTCTTAGAGTTATAAATTCAGTTCAATTATAATTCTAAGTT